TTTTCTCTCACTATCTTTTTCTTTTCTTCATGCTGTGCTTCGTTTCCTCGCTTTCGCTAGGTTTCACTTTCATGGTCCATTCTCTTATCTCTCTCTCTCTCTCTCTCTCTCTCTCTCTCTCTCTCTCTCTCTCTCTCTCTCCCTCTCTCTCTTTCTCTCTGTCTCTCTCTTTCGGTCTCCCTCTTTCTTCGTTCTAGCATTCAGGCAGTCGAGCTGTTCATCATTGAATTGACTTTTCTGCATATCTCTATATTCCTCCTTCATTCCTTCCTCTCCATGTCTTCATCATTTCGCTATTTCCACCTCGCTTCCTTTCCTCAATTCTTTCACTCATCTCTTCTTTCACTGAATCCATCCAAGTTCGTCATTCGTCTAACATTTGCTCATTCATTTCCTTCACTTATTCCTATCTTTATTGAGTCCTTTTCTCACTTTCCTTTCCTTTTTTTTTCTTGTGAACTACAAAATACAAAAAGAAATGTTTGATTTTGTAGTATCGAGGAGCCTGTATCTTCATCGTATATACTTTTACATTGTATTCTCCTACTGTGTCTTTGCAATGTATCTCCTGATGCTTCTGGCTGCACTGCAAACTGTTGCAATGCGCAGATGCTGTGCATTCTATCCTTTATCTCTCCTCGCTTCCTATTGTTCGCTTGTTCGGCTGAGTTATGTCGGGTGTTCGTTGTCCCTTCTCTCTTCTGTCTCGGTCTTTCCTCTCTCTCTCTCTCTCTCTCTCTCTCTCTCCTTCTGCAGGGTGTTCGTTATCCTTTCTCTCTTCTCTCACGTCCTCTTTCTCTCTCGTCCTCTTCTCTCTGGCGGGTGTTCTGTCGTCCTTCTCTCTTCTGTCTCGTCTTCTCTCTCTCTCTCTCTCTCTCTCTCTCTCTCTCTCTCTCTCTTCTCTCTCTCCTCTCTCTCTCTCTCTCCTTCTCTCTTCTCTCTCTCTCTTCTCTCTCTCTCTCTCTCTCTCTCTCTCTCCTCTCATCTCTCTCTCTCTCTCTCTTCCCTCTCATTCTCTCTCTCTCTCTCTTCTCTCTCTCTCTCTCTCTCTCTCTCTCTCTCTCTCTCTCTCTCTCTCTCTCTCATCTCTCTCTCTCTCTCTCTATCTGTGTGTGTGTGTGTGTGTGTGTTTGTGAATACTTACTGCAAGGTGATAATTTAGACACTATTCTTGTGAGTCATCCACCTTTTAATATGTGTGTGTGTGAGTGCGAGTGAGAATGTGAGTACGCATATTCATACGAATATGTGTGTATATATAGTTCACAACGTGCCCTGTGAGACATGGTCATTCACCTTTTGTCCACTGGATCAATCAAATAATCAAATAAAAAATCTCTGTCTGTCTGTCTCTGCCTGTCTGTCTCTCTGTCTGTCTGCCTGCCTCTCTCTCTCTCTCTCTCTTTCTCTCTCTCTCCCTCTCTCTCTCTCTCTCTCACACACACACACACACACAGACTCACACACACACACACACACACACAGAAACACTTCGTTCCACACATGATTTTCCTAGAAGTGCATAACTATGTGGGAAATTGATAAATGAATGATAATGAAAGAGTGCATAATTACACAGGGAATGAATAAATTGCCTCATAAAAAAAAAAAAAGCCATGCGTAAAATACACAGACTGTTCATCCAGCCTTACATCTTACACAACCGTAGAAGTCAGATTAGGATGTGCAAGAACAAGAACACTTTAAGTAATAATTACCCTCAGCTATACAACAGGAAGTAGTTACATTGCATTAGCGTAATAACTGCACCGAGCATCTAATTAAATGCGAATAAGTATATAATGTGTATTCTCGTAGCATTCCGTTATTAAAGCGTTATTACAATATTTTGGACAGAAGTAAAACCATTATTAACTGGCACTTTAATTGGCACAGGAAAGAGAATGAAGGAGGGAGGGAGGGTCGGAAAGAGGGAGAAAAAGAGAGAAGGAGAGAGAGAGGTGGGGGGGGAGAGGGAGAAAGAGAGAGGGAGAGGGAGTGAGTGAGTGAGTAGGGAAGAGAGAGAGAGAGAGAGAGAGAGAGAGAGAGAGAGAGAGAGAGAGAGAGAGAGAGAGAGATACAGCGAGCGAGGGAGGGTAGGGTGGGAAAGAGAGAAAGAGAGAAGGAGAGAGAGAGGGGGGCGGGGAGAGAAAGAGAGAAGGAGAGAGAGAGGGGAGCCTAGAGGGAGAAAGAGATAGAGAAAGGGAGGGAGGGGGAGAAAAAGAGAGAGCGGGAGAGAGAGAGAGAGGCAGGCAGGCAAGCAGACAAGCAAGCAAGAAAGAAAAAGAGCAGAGACAGACAGACCGACAGAATAACCCACAGACAGAAAGACGGACATATAGACAGGAAGACAGAGAGAGGAAAAGACCAACAGACAACCAGACAGACAAACGGATAGACAGAGAGATAAACAGACAGAGAGATAAAATCCACAAACACTAACAATCACAAACGCACATACAGACACCTCCCACTCCCACGCAGACACTATTTACATACA